CGAAGTTCCAAAAAAATTACAACCATGACAACGGACGCCCGCTTGGTATTATGGAAGAATTGTTAAGACATGTCCACGACACGACTGGAAGTCTTATTCTTGCCGACACTTTAGTTTTGCGCTCCCAAAAGGAAATTACAGGATCAGTGGTGAGGAAAGCAATGGAACTACTCATGAGAAGACACCCTAATTTGCGCATGTGCTATCAAAAGAACCAAAACGGAGAATATCACCTGCAGAAGATGACAACTCTTAAGGTGGATTTACGAGAGCAAAATACCACCGACTGGAAAAGTGTCATGGAGGAGAGCTTGCTGGAGAAATTTGATGGAAAAAACGGTCCTCTTTGAAGAGTCACCTTCCTTCCAAATGCTAGGTACCAGTCGAACGCAGATGAAGAAACCCCAGAAATAACCTCACACCCTCATGAGTGCATTTGCATAGTTGGCTTTCATCACATCATAATAGATGGGCAGTCCTTTTCAAGAATGTTTGCAGAGTTTAAGACGTATTTGGGCAACATACTCAACAATGAAGAACCTCAAGTGTCCTCCATGCCAATGTTGCCACCAGTAGAACTGTACCTTGATGAAGTGACCCCGCCTAAATGGTACCACTTTCTTTTGCCTATGGTATTTGGAATACTGGGCATGGTACCCGGATTCACCACACGAATGATGGGAGGATTTGTTCCAAAAGGTAATGCCTTTACCAGAAAATATGGCGTCGAAATCCAACGATATCCGCACATTCAACCAAAGACGAAGATTATTCCCTTAGAGTTTACTGAGGACGAGACCTCAAGGTTACTGAAGAAGTGCAAGGAGCATAAGACAACAGTACAGGGGGCTGTTCAGACAGCAGCAGGTGTTTCCATGGTCACCATGTTAGAGGATGAGAAGCTAGAAGTCCCCACCCGAGTCACAGTCAATATCAGACCCTTCCTGAGATCAGAAGTACCAAATGACTATGCCGGATCGTACTTTCTTGGCGTGGAATGTAAAAACCTGGTGGTCGCTGCTCCAGATCCTGGTGCATTTTGAAATATGTCTAAACAAGCCTCAAATGACATCCATGCCAAACTGAAAAACAACGTACCCATCAAGGAATGGTCAGTCATGAAGTATCTGATCCCAGTGGTATTTGGAGCAATGAGTGAAGAACCTAAAGAAGATGATGGATTCGCTGGACGTTCCCGACAGCTAGTAGTTTTCACTAATTTGGGTTACGCAAAGTTTCTCGACGGATCTCCCGATGATAGCGTCATCCTTCGAGCAAGGTTCGGTTGTTCGGCCGAGCACCAACGAGGAACCATTTTTAGGAACAGCATGATGACATTTAATGGAAAGTTATTTTGGACAGTGACTTATTACAGTAACGTTGTAAGTAACGCCTTAGCCCAGAAGTATGCCAGTTTGGTTAAAGAAACTATTCTTAAAGCGATTGAAATGTGGAGACTTAATCATTACAACTAAACATGATGCTCCAGGTTCGTGATATCAAACTTTTCCCCGCTCTTTCCCAACATCAAGCTTTTCAATTTTTACAAACACAATAGAACCTCGCCTACTCGAACATGGTTAACTCATGCTCCATGGTAACTCGTACTTTTAGCTAACTCGAACCCCCATTTTTGTTTCCCTTGACAGTTGAGTTAACGGGGCTCTACTGCGCATTTAATAATAGAGGGCGACAATCTTAAAGGTGCAGAGAAGATAAATCTTCCAGTCAGCTATGCTCTTTTGAACATATTCACATCAATACAAAAGGTATATAAACGATACCCTCAGTTCACAACATGTGCAGCTTGTCGAGATCTTGGCTTGTATTCCTTAATGCTTCCTCCACTGTTTACTTATAGAATTCATTCAAGATTCTTAGGCTTGGTCGGCAAGGCATAAAAAAAATATAGCAGAATGATGTATTTTAGATTTGAGTGTAATAGCAGAAGTCCTAATGATTTTAGATATACGAAATTCATATATTTGCACTATGGTGAAGTGAAGTAAAGAAAAGAAGAGCTCCTCGCAGCTAAGAACACTACTGAACTAGTAGTTGAAAATAGGACCTGAAAAAAATTTCAGGCCCGTACAGGATTTGAACCCATGACCTGTGCGATATCAATGCGGCGCTCTAACAACTGAGCTAACAAGTTCAATTGGGTCCAAATATACCATCCAAGTGATGAATAATGATTTTAGATATATGAAATTCATATATTTGCACTGCGGTGAAGAAACGAATGTAAGAGATCCTCGCAGCTAAGAACACTACTGAATTTTTTTTAATGTAACAGTTATGATGTCGAGAAAGCCTATCCGACATTAGATCATTTTATTCACGTTACGTATTGCAGTAGTATTAAAATGTAAATCGTGAAATTAAGAATATAAAAATGACTTTTTAGATAAGTACTAAAACATGTTTCTGTTTTTTAAACTTAAAATGGTTAGCTACCATACTACTGTTTGCTAAAAATAAATTGAATTTTGAATAAACGCCGCCCTCGAATCACGAAAAACTTAATAAACGCCGCGGCGTTTAATCGAATAAATACGGTATCTATTGAAACACTGTGCGGTAGTCACATTGTGTAATTGATTAAGTCGCTTCCTGACAAAACCTAGCATAATCAACAACTGTGAGTTCTCAAACTACATGGGGCTCCACGTTTTTCATCACCAATGGTACCTGATCAGCTGTGCATACATCCGCTCAGTCAAATGATATCAGAGGGAACCTGCTGCCACGCGGTCACGTGACTGCAAACCCGTAGGCTTCATTTGAGAGCGCATAGGTAGCCCAAGCTTGCGAAATGAACATCCGTAAATGCGCTAAGCTACTGGCAGCCCAAGAGTACTATATGCGAAACAACAACAACAGAAAAAACGGCTGGAAGAGACAAGGGCACACGCGCTTAAAATTCAATCTAAATTTATCCCACAATCGTGCAATTTCAGGGATTATCGGCTTCAGTGAGTTGAATAGTTTTCATGCCAATGGACATAGGGAAAGATTTTATACTGAGGAAACTTTATTTTACTCCACTTAGTAATTAACATATTCAGCATATTTGATATCTTTAAGATATCACTAAGAGTGGTCCTCTCGACTTCCCGTCGGAAAAAGTTTTTTCCATTATTTTTTGCCCACGAAAAGGGATTAGGACACATGTTTCAAAAATAGTTGAGTTGTTCTCCAATCCCCTTTTTTTGCATCGCCACAAGCCAAAAATGATATTTGGCTAGACCACCCGTGTGGACAGCGATCGAAAGTGTAAATTTCACAGATTTTGTCCAACGCGCAGCGACTGCAATAATATAGCTTACGGAATTCTATCTTGCTAAAAGTTACAAGATGTATTCAGTTAGTTCACAGGAAAAATATGGAAACTTTACCTGAGATATTTTTCATACCAGGGTGATCAGAGGAGACCCTTCTCTTAGACCTTAATTTGCATATCACCAATTTGTACGAAGGGATTCTCAAAATGCAGGCGCTAATCGGGCTAAAACAACATATCAATGCACAGTTTATACACCAATGAGGTCACCGATTGTCTCAAACCCGCGGGTATATCTCTAACTTTCTAGATCTAGTTTAAAAAAGTGAAAAAAGCATAGTTTATACACCAATGAGGTCACCGATTGTCTCAAACCCGCGGCTAGATCTCTAATTTTCATCCACCAACATCTTGAAAACAACGCAAATCCATGTGTTTGCTCAAATCCATCTGTTTGCTCATAACAACCGAATGGTGAATAAATGCTGAGTTCTCCTGAAACATTGCGTAATCGTGATCGGTCGCAACGCTTGCGCGCTTGCGTGACTTTACATATTTATTTATTTGCACAAGATCATCATTATAACAACACTACATACTGCAACGCAATTAATATAATCCTGAGCGGGAAGTCTCAGAAGCCAAACAAAGTGATCATAAGGCGCCTTCGCGATCATTTTAGTTGAAATATCAGGTCATGAACTACGCATAGTAGCTACTAGTATTTCAGCCTTGATTTCTGTCGTGGAATGCCGGGACGACGTATCGAGTCATTTGAAGTACTACCGGCTATCCAGCGAAATCCTCCGTTGTTCCTTGAAATGGCCAAAAAAAAAAAAGATATTGGCATGGTCTAAGCATCGGAACCCCTGGGAAGACACTGGAAATATAGTAAATGTATTTTTTAGCATTCGAAGCACCAAGGAAAACTGAGGCAAGACTAAGAGTTCAGCGCCATTTGTCGTGAAAGCTGCCACCAGATTGTTATTGAACTGACTATAATTTACCATGAAGGCATTTACTTTCTTTTGTTGCAAAACTCGTGGATTTTAAAACTTTGGAATGACGTACTAGGCATCTATTCTCCATTCGGCTGTTATGAAAACCTAAAATCCTCAACGTAGAGGATAAACAAACGAAGTTTTCAACGGTCGAAAGGAGATCTTGGTCAATTTTCAGAATTATGCAAATAATCTTTGATACGAGCGCAGTTGAGCAAACACATCAGTAGATTTGCGTTGTTTCTACTATGTTGGTGGATGAAAATTAGAGATCTAACCGCGGGTTTGAGACAATCGGTGACCTCATTGGTGTATAAACTATGCTTTTTTCACTCGATTAACGCCTGCATTTTGAAAAATTTTCTCGAACAAACATATGCAGATTAAGGTAGAGGAGAAAGGTCTCCGCTGCACAAATTTTACACTTTCGATCGCTTTCGATTGCCCAGATACTAATATTGGTCCATTCCTGGAGCAATATCAGTATCTGGGCAATACTGATATTGGTCCGTGGGCAGTTGCCCAGGTGCTGATATTGGTCTTTATTGCCCAGATACTAATATTGGTCCATCCCTGGAGCAATATCAGTACCTGGGCAATACTGATATTGGTCCAAATCCTTTATTAAACGTGTTTGCATTTTTGTTTCTCGGGCTTGGGCTACCCGAGATGTTAATTAGTCTAAGAATAAAATTGTTCCTTTCATCAAAAGCGTGGTTTCATCGTTCCAGAAGAAGGCACACGATTGCGATGGGAGAAGAGATCCTTTCCAAAACGCCGAATTTTATCGAGCAACGGTGAGTTACGAAGAGGGAGCCTTTTATTTGCTTTTTTCCTGAGTGATTCTCAGTTCAACTAAGACTATTCACTCGGGGAATATTTACTGTGAATTGAGTGAGATCTGACGAACGATCGCATGTCACAATGGTGCAGGATGTTCGATTCGCTCAGATCAACTTTTTTGCGAGCGACGGATGGTTGGCGAATCGTTGAATAAGAGACCATCAACTAAGTTTTGTCGAGGACAATGTCGCCCTCAGTCGTAATAGTTGATACTGCATGGCTGATTATATATTTCCTCAAAATACTAAGCCTGTTTACTACATTTCGTGCAATACATTTTAAAATTGAAATATACTTTTTGATGAACCTTTTAATGAGTCTGATCTTGTTCATAGATAGGCATCAGTGAAGCAAACATTTCTATAGTATATCTATTTATCAAAAGTGTATGACAAGCCACGCGAAAGGTTTATCCGCTGGCTCAGATGGTGGTGTGCTTCTCGCGTCTTGAATGAAACTTACAATTTGAACTCTCCGTCTTTAAAGCCATTTTGTGTTCTGGATATTTTTGCATAGAGCCTCAAGAGAAGTGAAGCAGCCTATAAACCGTTTATTAATCTATCTTGTTGGCTACATTTCAAAGAAGAAACCTCTGCCATTACTCAGAGGAAGGCGCTTCGTTCCTTTCACTACGATTTTACTCGATTTGGATCCTATCGTACCACTTTTGATCATGGTCTCAATCAGAGGCATAGAAACTGGGATTGTTATAATAACCCCACTAAATCTCTTAAACTTGAAAGAGCAACAATTTACAAGTTACCATGAGTCAGTGGTGAAGGTAATATCATGATGGCCTAATTCGTCGATGAATTTATTGAAATGAGAGTAAAAAGAGTTACTCAATCTCAAGATCGGAAATTTCTTCGGTTTCTTTCTGTAGTTTTTTGAGGTTGAAATAGTTCATGCAAATTTTATTTTGCATTCTTTAGGTAACGCCAATCTGTAGTCTATTTATTTCTTCATTTGTGCATTGGCAATGACATCAGTTAGGCGCCATCAGTTATCTTCTTTCAGTAGACATATCAAGTTCAAAGCTGTGACGGATATTCTTCAGCTGTGTGACTCGCGTGATTGAATTACTGCGAATATTTTAATCTTCATATTAAAACATGATGAGCTGCTGCAGTCGTCGGCACTAAACGAAAACGGTAGTTAGATAACGGCGTAATATGTGACTAACACAGTCTATAGACTGTAAGATTTTACGCCACTATGTGCGTCGGTGTATATATAAGTAAGATTTAAAGCCGTTAACTAACGGCGTAAAATCTTCCAGTATATAATTTACCGGCTGGAAGAAATTACGCCGTTAGTTACTGGCGTAAAATCTTACATATAAGACAACCGACTGGAAGAAATTACGCCATTAGTTACTGGCGTAAAATCTTACAATGTATAATATACCGACTAGAAGAAATCACGCCGTTAGTTACTGGCGTAAAATCTTACATATAAAACAACCGATTGGAAGAAATTACGCCATTAGTTACTGGCGTAAAATCTTACAGTATATAATATACCGACTGGAAGAAATTACGCCCTTAGTTACTGGCGTAAAATCTTACAGTATATATAACACCGACTGAGCCAAATTACGCCGTTAGTTACTGGCGTAAAATCGTACATATAAGACAACCGACTGGAAGAAATAACGCCGTTAGTTACTGGCGTAAAATCTTACATATAAGACAACCGACTGGAAGAAATTACGCCGTTAGTTACTGGCGTAAAATCTTACATATAAGACAACCGACTGGAAGAAATTACGCCGTTAGTTACTGGCGTTAAATCGTACCTATAACACAACCGACTGGGAGAAGTTACGCAGTTAGTTACTGGCGTAAAATCGTACATATAAGACAACCGACTGAAAGAAATTACGCCGTTAGTTACTGGAGTAAAATCTTACATATAGGACAATCGACTGGAAGAAATAACGCCGTTAGTTACTGGCGTTAAATCGTACCTATAACACAACCGACTGGGAGAAGTTACGCAGTTAGTTACTGGCGTAAAATCTTCCATATAAGACAACCGACTGGAAGAAATTACGCCGTTGGTTACTGGCATAAAATCGTACATATAAACACAACCAACTAGAATAAATTACGCCGTTAGTTACTCGCGCAAAATCGTACATATAAAGAATACAAAAGAACACAGAAGGGACAGTGACGTGGGTACTGTTCATTACCACTATCTGATGACATTGTCTACCAAACTTCGTATGGAAATCACTCCACGGTTCACTAAGTAAATTCGTTGAGAAGACCACTCGAAGAATTTTTCCTGCTCCTACTGAGCTTAAAAAGCTTGAGAATGCTTTTTCCAACCCCGATTCTACGGTAGAATATGGTTGCTAGGCAGGCCATTGAAACTGAGTCTCGAAAAAGCAACTTTCTTTCTGGGAGAACGTTCAAAAACTGCGCTTATAGACTACACTCGCCCCTATTCGTCAACTATTGTTCTTTACGTCACATTACCTAGGACAAATTCATGCAATCGTACTCTAGTGAGTGTTTTCTTAGATGACTTGCCCAGACCTGCCCAATATGTCTAGTTCAGATTCTATTAGATCACTTGTAAAATTTAGAATACTGAAAATGTTATTGCTACGACAAAATCCTTTCATCTGTACTTGCTCTACTCACAAACCAGTTTCCAGTTAGAATGGGGCGTTTCATCTCTGAGCCCATCATGTAACTTGATTAAGGAGTGCACTGACGGAACTAAGAACAAAAGCTAGTTGAGCAACCACATGATATTTACCAAAGAGCGTCTCAGTAATATTTGTATTGACTTATGTACGAATTCGTTTGCTTACAAGGCTGAGATTTTCCCACTCTGATGCGCGGATGTACCTGTATTACACTTTAAGAAATAAATTCAACAAGGAAGGCCTTCGAAATTTAACACTGACTGGAAGTCACTTGCTATTCTCTGTGAATACTGCTGTTTTGCCTATCGCTTTAAAATCCGCAAGCTTATGCGATGCATAATACAGCCCAAAATTTGTTTGCGTTCCATACCTTTAAAATTAAGTCATGGCGTAGTTCACCAGTAAACTCGCCAGGTTCCGACTGCGAAACGTGTTGTTTCGTCGCCAAAGATTCAAATGTAAGATTCGATGCGCTGACACAGGTCGAGGAAACTCGAGCCATTCTCCACGGTCGGCCAGTCAGAGGAAACTTACAGAGATTCGATAGGTATCAGATCGAGCGACTTGAATCACTTGGAAAAGATTGATAAAATTCGGTTTACTTCTTAGCCCAATTGTTTACCACTTGTCTGGTTCAAAACAATGCACGAATATTACGACGTTCAAAACTGAATTTGGAACTGCAATTTTTGACTATTCAAAGTAGTTCAAATAACAAAATCGGACGACGGCGAAGTGGGAGCCCGATCCATCATGAGTATAGTTACGGACAGAATTGGACGTCACAAAGCCCTGTTACCAATTAATTAAAACTATGAAAAAATTTGAGAAACAAACTATTCATGACGCGTACAGTCCAATGACACAGGCATGACACATACACCGTCCAATTACAAGCACGATGCGTTCATTATCCTATAAGTGCTCAAATCGGGCTGGTGATAACTATATATAATCACATTACAGAATTTTTTATAGATTTGATAAATGATGGTAATTGAACTGGGTGGAGTTTGATTTATAATGGTAATAGGACCGAGTGGAGTATAATTCGGTCTGTAAACATATTAGGGATTAACAAAATCGGACGATCGCGAAGTGGGAGTCTGATTTGTCAATCACGATGTATCAATCACATTTGAGGAAAAAGCGATGGATATGATTAATAATGGTAATAGGACCGAGTGGCAGGCAGAATTGGACGACAAGAAGTCCTGTTACCAATTAATCATAACCATTGCAATTTCCGAAAACAAAGAGACAATGTCTAAATTAAAAAAATTTCTCCATTTTGGAATTCCTTAATTTTTTTTTGGATAAGTGGTTGTTGCTATGGTTATTGTGATTAATTCTGTGATTGGTGGATTTGGCTGAGTGGATTTAGTATGATTGGCTACTTCGACTGTCCGATTACAGCCAACTGGTGATTACAGCTCTACAGAATGTTTAATGAAAAATAAAGCAGCTAATGCACCAATCATGTTTAAGTAAATTATAATGGTTATGATTAGGTCTGAAATCATACGAGTAATTTCGAAATCGAACGAGCGCGTAGTGCGACTTTGATAGAAATCACAAGTATGATTTCAGACCAAAGTTGCGCAACAGGAAGTTCAATTGCCACTTTATTACATTCATTTTGAAATCGCAAAATTCAGTCCTTCAAATACAGGATTTTTGGTCTGTTCAAAGATTTATTGATCCAAGAATGAGCTGGTTTGTAACAGTTGCTAAAGTTGTCTTTCATTTACTCATATTTGATTGGTTACTTTAAACATATCTTGAAATCGGTTTGGTCGTTGTGTTTTCGTAAAGGTTTCTCATTGCATATTATTTAGAGCAAAAAATGGCGCGATTCGCGAATAAATCGCACCACTGAGAGCCAATCAGATTGGAAGGATTACAAGTGATTTAAAATGGACATGATAAATAATGACAATAAGACCGAGTTGAGTCCAATTCGGTCTGTAATCATATGGGTGAGTAAAAAAATCGGACGACCGCGAAGCGGCAAACCGCGTTTTTATCCCGGTATGATTACAGACAGAATTGAACGACACGAAGTCCTGTTACAAATTAATCAAAACTATGGCAAAATTTGATTCGACTATACAAACTTCGCTCCAACCAAGGGCTAACACTCGAAAGGTTGGGTTAAGAAACTCTTTGCGGTGGTCAATTTACCTTATAAACCAAATAATGTTGTTATGACTGTATCTTACACCGACGCAGCACCACAGTAAAACTTACCACCAACGTGTTCGTGTAGGTAATCATTCCCCTCTTGGTTACCCCCTGCCTCAGCCAATCAGCAATTAGTATATGTAATCACATGAGGCCAAGTACTATTAAGGATTAATTGCACGAGAGTTTTCAAAATTGTCCAAAATTTTGAAAACTCAAGTGCAATTAATCCTTAATAGTACGAGGTCTCATGGGATTACTTGTTTATCAATAAAGGGCAAAATTTATACGAAGGAAAATCACGCGCGCAGTCTATTTTTATCTGGGAAGCAACGGATTAGCAATGCAACGGATTAGCCAATCATTAACAGGTAATCATGCCCTCTCTTGATTACTAAAAATGCCCTCTCTCTCAACCAATCAGCGCTCAGTAATTTTGCCCTTTATTGATAAGTAAGGTAATTTAGTTTCATCAACTTGAGCTGATAACGTAAATTGGCCAGCGTTAGCTCTCACTCAAAAAACGGATCAAATTTTCATGATTGACGTATTCCTTATTATGTCGAGGCAGGACGATGGTGCCTTTGAAGATTGGTAAGCCTTGACAAAATTTGGTAGGACAACAAATCCCCGGGCGTACTTGTCGCGCCGTTGTCGCGCATTTTGCCGAGTGACAGTAAACGGCTATCAATGCTATTGCAAGTTTATTTCTCTAATTTTGTCATAGTTTTGATTAATTGGCATCAGGACCTGTAAAATCGACAACAATCCTTTATGGTTGGCTAAAAAGTAGTAGTTTCGTCACTGCCGTCTCCAGAGACCATTCATTCAACCGATATTGTCCTGGTGTCCTCGTTTCACTTGAAGGGACACTTCAAGCCAAATGGCGAGCTCACTAGAAGAACGTAACAATATAGCTGATAGAGGTAAGAAAGTTCGTTGTATAGAGTAGATTATGGCATCATTCTCGGCATAGAATTGCATCGAAAACTAACTCAGATACAAGCTATCGAAAGGCAACGCCTGTGGTTGAACGCTATAGTTCTCCAAATCGGTTGAATTCTAAAGCTAAAAACTCTCAACGCGATTCAAGTAGATTGCAAAGAAACTCGCTGAAATTTTTGGTTAGCTGTATCGAGTAACTATGTCCTGGTGAATATCAAAGGAGAGAGATGAAACGTATGTAAGACTGCAGTGTGCTTGAGGCCGTTTGTATTCCATGATAAAGATATTTGCATTACGAGCAATATTTGTTGTGGACTTCTTTGCAATTTATTTTAAGTTCGATTAGATTTAGATTATAAGAAGTTCAGTTAAAATTAAGAGTTCAGTGTTTGCCGTTACCGTAAACGAAAAGCTTAAACTCTCCCTTCAAAGTTGTATAATTTTTGTGATATTATCTGTGCTACATTTTTCCGGCCTCATTACGTGTGCTCCGCGAAAAACGGTTGAACTTCGACGTACGCTCAATATCGTCAAGGTTGTGGATAATTGAAGAGGCTTTCCTGGAATATCATGTTATTGAAAAGTGTTTTCTGCGTTGAGAAAGGGTCGATATCCGCATGAATTCCGCGGATATCACGAAGAATTCACTTTGTCATTTGGCAGGTCACAGCAACGGCAGATTTGTCTGAATCGGTGTTCTTAACAACATCGTGTTCCCATCGGAATAAAAGTTTTAAAAATGTTGACGCTTTGTCGGTGATTAGTTTCAGTCTGCAAATATCACAACTTAAGAGTACTAGCAAGAAAATTCTTGCCTTAATACTTTGCGAGTTTTATCCAAAAGCGCGCATTTCCCAATCTAAATTGCCAACTCATTTAACAAACAGAGAAGCCCAGGCCGTGCTCTGGTCTGTTGAAATGCACGTCGGAAGCAGCTAGAACACGAAAGAAGAGTAGGGAGAAAATGACATGTATTTTAATAAAATCAAATATGGTGCTTGGCATGTTTACAAACCTTTTTTTGTTCTTCTTTTGCTACTCACCGACTCGCTTGTTCCAAAATTTAACTTTTGATTAACTAAAAAAACTAGAGTGAACAACTAAGAGCTTGCTCTGATATCCTTTCTAATGCATCAAGTGGAAGGGCACATCAGTCGAGTTTTACAGCACTGTTGTAAAGCACACAGGAAGCAACAGGGACATTTTGGAGCAGTGACATGAGTGGCAGAGATATGTGTACATTAACTTCATAGACTTGAGGCTGAAAGGTGTATGTCCTTATAGGAGACATGGTTTTGTGTTGTCAGGCAAGATGTTTTTCTTTCAATAGTCCCTCTCTTCACCCAGGGGTCAAAATGGTACTGGTAAACAAAACAAAATGCAGGAGGTCAACCTCTTAACCCTGTGACCTCTAAGAGAGATGAGTGACCTCTCAGGGAGAAGAGTGTCTTATTACTCCTAACAATGTGATGTGTATGTATACTGTAAGTTTCCGTGTAGATTAATTACTCTTTTTAATTTTCTACAGTTTGGTTTGGAAAGTGACTAGTAGTTGTGACAAATGGAAAATTTACAATCTGTTGCACACACATGCAGCATTCAGTGCAAGCTTTATCCCTGTAACTCCCATGAGTGACCAAGACAGAATTTCTCCTTATAGCATCAATACATTATCAACCAGATAAGATATGAGAATAAAGAGAAATATCAATTTGGGTATAATTAGGTGATCCAATACTAAATTCTCTGAACTAACATTGAATTGTGCAGTTGAGAGTAGGTAGAATTACAAATTTTATCTGGGAGTCAACCCTTTAACTCCCAAGATCTGATTGTTAATTCTCCCCTCTAGCTGCTACATGTTTCCTTGTGAATTGGTTATAAGAATTTGACGAGTTTGAGTATTCTCACTACCTCTGCTGGATAATGCTTGGATATGATAGGGAGAAGTGATGTGTTAATCAGTTCTGGGAGTTAAAGGGTTAAAAGCAACCATCTTAGTTGTGTATGAATATGTATATCATTTTTTGGCTGACCAGGTAAAACTTAAACATTAAAGTTTCTAAGTAGATAATTGTTTATGAATGGAAGTTTTTTTTTTAGTAATCTTAAAAGCTAGGTAGGTATTTATCCATGCATATCACAGTACATAATTTTGTTGCTGACATGTGGTTGATTATTTACCTTTCAATGAAATTTAAACTGTAAAGTAACAACTTTTTGCTGTTTTGTTTAAGATCTCCAGAAGGCTGATCATGACCATCATTATATAGGATGCTGGAATTTGGGGTCAAGTTGGTTGTTACAAAGTAAGTGGAATTTTCCTAAGTTTAAAGAACATGCCCCGATTATTTGAAGAGTGGATAATGTTAATCTGCTAGATGACAGTTAAATCATTGGTAAATGTTATCTGCTGTTTGTACAATTGGGTCCAGCATTATAACCAACATATCATGGCCATTGTGTATGGAAATGTGAGTGTCATTTTGCTGGAATACTGGCTAAGGGTTTAGCTGCATTAAGGAAAATCTGTTTGTATTTGTCAGAAAAAAACAGACAGTCAAAGAATGCATATGGCGTCTGGTATAGCACAATTTTTCAAGTATTGAAAAGAAATAGATGTTGCATGGTGATGCTAGAATGTAGTGTTGCAAAATATTTGTCTCGCTTTCCCATAAGAAAAAGATAAGAAAAAGATGATTCAAGAATATATCCTCGAATTGACATCTAACCAATAATTGAATGGTGACAAAACAATAATGACAACAATAGTAGTTTAATAATAATTTAAAGGTGCTAGCTTTAAGTCTCATGGTTCCCCAATCCTCTGGGCTCCAACATTGATTACCTATGCTTCTTTTAATTTGGCCCATCAATTATAAATAATTTCCCCAATATCTTATTGCATTTCCATTTGTGGAGACTTTTGTTTCATATAAAAAGGCACTACGCGTTGTAGGATATTCCATCATTCGGTGTCTCATGATTCTATTGCTTATTTAAGCACAAGGCTTTTTTGTTGACTCAAATGTCTACTGCATGAGAAAGCAGGAGACAGAAACACAACATTTAGGGAACTATTAATTGATGCAATAACAAATTCTCCAAAAAGACATCAGGAAATTGTACAACAGACAGTAAGGAGATTTACTAATTATAAACAAAAATGTGCAAACCAGACACTTACCCAACAGGGCTGTATCACCCATCAGTACATTGCATCACAATTCCTCCCCGATTGGAGAATTGGTAGAAATACACCAGCTGCTGCTGGCTCATGGTACCCTGGAGGGGAAAGAGGCAGACAAGCAATATCAAATGTAGCAATAATGCCTGACTGTTATGAATATTTCCAAGGTTCAATTGTTTTTCAGTTAAAAAATACAGGCGACCTGTTGTTTGTCAGTTATCCCAAAACACAACAAGAGGTAGGAAAACCATGGACTAAGCATGGCTCTTTAAACCTGGGATGGTGTTCAATAAATCCATTTTCATTGCCAAGGTTGTGTTTTTTGTATTGGTTGGTGGCATAATTCACAAGTAAAGCTACAGAATTTAAGTATTTGATAAACAAATTTCTTACTTCCAGGCTTGGAATAACACCAGGTTCCCGAGGTTCCTGCCTTTGAGGATATAATTTCAAATCAGCAAAGTAAGTACACAAACTTTGTAGTATTCCATGAAAAATTTTAGTATAACCAAGTCTTGTTTCTCCTATAACTCTATATCTCTTCTTAGTATATACTAAAACAGTGGATAACATTGAAGGTATGCTCTGATTGGCCACTCAAACCCTAAATATCCTTTGCTATTCACCTCAAAGCAATGCAAGAAGGATTGCACCTGAAAATGTTGTCTATGTTGTAGGAATAAATGAGTTAAAGTCATCTTTTTGTATTATATTATCTCACTGTTTTAGTTATACTAAAACAATTATTCACCTTAGTGTTGGTGACTTCCAGTGGATGTCTATCTCACCACTTCACGGCTTAGTAAATTTTTACTTCTAGCCACCTCCACTTTGGTGAATAGTTGTTAACTACCAATTTGATACAACCAGTTGGATAACTTGTTCCTAAAGCTAAGAATATACTTGTAAATATTGTTCAAAATTTAGGACAAATTACCCTTATGACTGTGTGAAAGCAATGCACCATGACCTATGAAATGTGGTCTTTGACCCTTTCACTCCCAATATCTCACAAGTAATTCTCCTTACTGTCTTACAATTCTCATGATATAACTTAGAGAATTTGGTATTGGATCAACTAATAATCTCCTAATTGATATTTTTCTCAGTTATCTTCACTTGTCTACTTGATATTGTATTGATATTGTAAGGAGAATTTCTGTCTTAGTCACTCATGGGAGCTAAGGTAAAGACAATGGCCATGACCTTAAGGAAAAACCAGGTTACACTACTACCAAGAAGCATGAGGTAGCCCTCTGGATACAATTTCTTTGAAGAAAGTGATACAAAACAAAAAAATGTATCTGTTGCTTTTAAAATTGAAACAAAAACCACATAGATACAGTATTTTTTTATACCCCTCTTGAGAAATAAATTAAAGACTGAGAATATAAAGGGAACTTACTGTTGGGGTTTCTGGTGCTGCAATGATAAATAATTAAAGTAAAATATATTATTTTTTTGTTTTAAGACTGTGTTATATTGTTCATTAATTAATAATATTGTCAGTGATGCCTTAGGCTTTGAGAATTTGATATTGTTCACTACTTGGGGGGGGGGGGGGAGGACTCGGACTCTTTGGGTGAGGACTACTTAATTAATACATTACAGGCTTAAAAGGAGTTGTGTCACTCAGTTGGGGCCCATAATGAGATGGGAGCACAAGAATTGCCTCCTCAAAAATTGAAATCATGAAAGTTAAAACTGTCTGTGATCACCTGCAGCACAGTAGGTGATTGACAAGAAATTTTCAACTACTGTTTGGTTATTTATGAGAAACAAGCCAAATTGTTGAGTAGCGGCTGTGTGCTCACCCTTAGGGGGTGAATATTTGTGAACATCAATTGTTTGCCAGTTAAAAAATACAGCCAACATGCCATTTGTTATTTGTCCCATAACATAACAAGAGGTGGGGAAACTTTGGACTAAGCATGGCTATTTAAACCTGGGATGGCTTCAATAACACAAGTTATACTCTAAATGATATCAATATGGTGATAAGTAAACTGCATTTTCTTAGTTCACATTACATAATTGATTACACTGTGATATATCAATTATTTTAATTTCTTATGTGTGGTTGCCTTTTGCTGCTTGTTATCTATTTAATTGTCTGTCCTCTCATTTTATGTATGCATATATTAGCTGTGGGGATTTTGGTTGCACTAAATCCATTCCTACTGCCTGAGTTTGGGTCAGTGACATAATTTTGCAAATATAGCTATGAAATAAAAGGATTTGATCAACAAATTTCTTACCTCCAGGCTGGGAGGCACCCCCAAATACTCCTGCTGTCTGTGAAGAGATAATTCCAAAACAACAAAGTGAGTACACAATTTTTGTAGTATTTTAAAGATAATTTTAGAGATACCATGTTATGTCCCACCTACAAATGTACATCTTTTCTGTCAACTTCGTACAGTTAATTGAGTAACTCGTTCTTTAAGTGAATTATGTACTTGTGCATAATGATAAAAATTTAAAAGAAGTTGCCGTTATGACTGTGTGTAAGCAATGCACCATAACCTTTGAACATGGAATTAAGATAATGCCATGATCTTCACAAAAAAAACCTGGTTAACCACTTTGTGAAGCAACAGGCACCCCAACAGTTTACAGTAGCCATATGTGTTGACATTTGGTACATACATGTATATGTCCTCCTTAATATATTTAAGCTAGGTAGGTTTTTACTAATAATTTCAACACGCTCAAATAAATTTCAGCAGTGGGATGGTTTAAGAGCTGACCCCAGGAAATGTGAAGGTGCCCCTTAAATAATTGATACTCATATATGGAGAAAATCTCTGCAAGGGCACATGGTACTGGCCTTAATGGTGCTTGTAAAGTGATACAAATGCATGTTAACAAAATTATGTGATTTTTACCTTCAAAATTTGGACATAATTACACCATAGATACAGCATCTATGTATACACCTCTTAGGAAATTTATTTTACTTTCAAAGACTCAAAGGATGAAGGGAACTTACTGCATTGGCTGCTGTTGCTGCAATGATAAATAATTTTGGAAAATACATTAATATTTTTATTTTAAAACTTTGTATTATGATTTATAAGTAGGTAATAATTATTGATGCTTTTAGCTTTGTCAATTTGATACACATGGGTACAGTTCTCTTGTTAATTTTTACGATGAGCTGTGCAGAGTTGTGTTTACTTTACTTCCTACTGATCGTGTCTTCGAATGAGCACTTAACTGGTTTAACATTACCGTATTTAATCGATTAGACGCCGCGGTGTTTATTAAATGTTTTCGTGATTCGAGGGTGGCGTTTATTTAGAATCCAAACAATAGTATGATACCTGGCCATTTTAATTTTATAAAAAACAGAAACACGTTCACAATTTTACAATTTGCCCTATTAATACAACACTGCAAGACACAAAGCGAATGGAGATTTAATGTTGGATATGCTTTCTCGACATCAGAACTGGTACATTCAAAAGGATTTGTGTCTGGTTCAGCCAAAATTTTCAACTGTGATCGAAGTAATGATCGCTTTGTGCTTTTTTAGTCTATTATTCGAATAAACGCCGCATGATGATGCGGCGTTTATTAATATTTCTTCAGTGAAATGCGGCGTTTAATCGAATAAATACGGTGTGTTCGAGTGTACAATGCGCCGTATTTTTCCTATTGTTTTATTGTTTATGTACAAAATGTGCAAAAATTTAACTGTAGGTTTTAGTAGAGAAAAATTGCAATACACTAGTCCTTTATTATATTCCTCCTTCTGTGATGAAAATCGGGCTCTTTGTTTTTGATCTCGATCGCCATTTTGAAGGAGGTCCGTTAGCGATGGAGTGCGCTGTTGAGGCAGTTTTGATTTTGATCGTAATTATAAGTTCTTTAATCTGAAAGAAGCATCACTTGTTCAGTACTTACGTCGTGTTGTAGTTCTTGATTCATGGTGCTCTGTGAATCTAGAGAAAGATTTCATTGTGCAGCATGAGCAACGAACTATGGGGAGCACGTCCCATACCCTCGATCATTTTGTTTGGCTTTTGCCACAGATAGCTGCGTAAGCTATATTACCTGCTTCGATTTATGTTGAGGTAAACATAACTAGTCCCTTTTTTGAAGTAGTTCTCGCGAAAAGTTTTTTTCAAACATTTTTCTTTTGCTCCTAGTACTACTAGTGTGGGAGTATTTATTTGATGGTGACCAGCCATTTAGCGGCATTTTTTTTTTTTTTTTTTCTTTCCTGGTTTCATGGTTCCTTTGCTGTATTTTGGCGCGTTTGCATTTACTTTTTGCATATATCATACCTTTCCGTTGGCAAAAGTGGTGCACCTACTCGGGTAATCTGCTTCCACGCTTGTTGTGTGACGGATTATGCGCAAGAGCACTGGCAGCTTATTGACAATTTTCATTCAGCTGCTGAAATGGCGGGAACTGAGTAACCGCGCTTCAATGCGCATAAAAAATACTGAATGCGATTTCAAAGAAACTGGATCCTAGTCAACCATGACTCTTTTGTTTAGTTATCATAATCACATGGGCAAATGTGAAAATCTTTTTATATTTCACCCAACTAGCTTGCCGTGCCGGCGTCAACTAGCCTGCAGTGCAGACGTTTCTCTAGGGCGAGCTGACGTGAAGATGCTCGCGATCGTTCTTAAGGCTGTCAAAATGAACCGATATTTCTGGCTCGCCTGTAGATCGAAACAAGAAGGGGACGCGATTGCATCGATATTAGTCGGCGAACTCCGATGGAATACAACGGAAAGAAATTCTTTGAGCTTAATTTTTCCCCATCTGAAAAAATTGCTTTCCGTTGTTTGTTGCAACAATAAATGCAGTCGGAGGAAGATAGGGAAATCTGCCTGCTGTTTTGTAGAAATGTCTTGCTAGGATGCTGTGGTCATTGAAAGTGCCGAAGCTCATCGATGAATTGATGTTTCTAAATTTTGGAGGATTGGTGTCTATTTGGTCCCTTAACACTGTGGCAATCTTCACTTTCATGAGCTATATAAAACATGTGGCATCATTTTGTCGGTCATTTTCAAGTGTGCGCTTTGTGAGGACATCTCGTAGGGAGTTTTTTTCAAGTTTTTACAGCTAGTTGTGTGTTATACATGCTATTGTGGCTATACCCACTTAGGAGATAAAAGCACAGGCTATGTGATACTTGCGTGACATGTCGTGGGCGCGTAGCCATTTTTTCATTGGCTTTCCTTGTAGTGGCCATTGTAGGAGAATATCTCAGTGTTCTAGACTAGGAGGTCTTAACTGTCGTCTGTGCAAACCGACTCTTTAGATTTATTGGTATGGGTAGCACAATAAACAGGATGGTTGAATGTAGCTCATAGCTCAGAGTGGACGTTCAAGACCGTAGAAGCAAACGAAAAACAGTTTTGAATTTTTTGAGACGATCAAAACGTCAGCGGAAGGATTGATTGTGCTCTAGCGGAAGCAGTACAAGGGCTGTTTAACCGGAAAGCTGTTTTCACAAATGTCTTAGTCAGGACGTGATTTATTTATTCAAGCAATGATATCGTTGGCGTTGATTTTGAGTGGCTTAGCTTTGTTTATTAAGGCACCAATGAATAGTGTTTTCGTAGCTCTCAGTAGCAGTGGCGTTGACTTCTGAGGTATCCCCGTTACTTGCCTTTGTTGCATGTGTTGATATTTTCAATAAATTTCTCCAGTTACCAAACTAGGTAACGCAACGAAGCTTGAGCTAGTCTGCTTGTTTTCATTTTTTAGTTACCACAGTGCCCTCTTTTAATCGGAAAGAAACATCGAAAGTAATACTCTTGTTCGCAGTGGATTAATCATGTGTAACATGCAAATGTTTCTGGATTCTGTGGGACTTTCCCTTACACATATTGTCATCAGATCGACAACTATTCAGCACTTCGCCAGTAAGTTTCATCGTCTTGAATGTAAAATACCCTAGGTATATCGAAACGTTTAAAGGCCTTGCCAAAGAAACGGGCATGTTTCTTCATTCATTTCCGTACATCACTTACTTGCGGTGATAGAATTACTTGAATATCGTTTACTTCTCAATGAATCATTAGGTCAGTCACGATTCTCGCATAATGTATTTGAGACTTGTGTAGCAGCGGCAAATAAAAAATTATTGTTCCTTTTTTCGTCAGTGTTGTCTAATTATTTCACTTTGAAGTTGCATCGGAGTTAACATAAAATGTAAAGCGTTGTAAGTATTAACTTTTAGCGACAATATTATTTATTTGGTCTTATTAGGAGCAGTTATTTTGTCACACAACTCGTTACATTATCTCCCCAAGGAACGCGCTACGTGACTAGGACTATCTCTACCCGACTGTTGGTAAATTTCCGTTCTTTTGTTTGCACAGTTCGAGCTCTTCAGGACGTTAGAGATTTTTTTCGTTTCTTTCCTTTTTCGTGTTAACGACAAGTGATTCTATTCTCAATATCTACGGCCTCGATATGTAAATTATGGATATTAATGATTTTAAAAAAGAATATTTTACATGATTGACAACAGTTTGATGAAGATGAGGAGTTGTTGAGTTTCTTACTTATTGAATTGTAGGCGACCTTGTACCATAGCAAAACTAAAAGATGGTATGAACAAGAAAACAGAATACACCCCAAGTCACCGTGATTTCATAAGTTCATTTATTATCTTTGGTCGTAAATTTTAACTTTTCCGTGTGTTTATTGACTCCTCTGAAATGGTTTAAAGTTATTCACATTTTGTTTAATTACAGAAGATACTATTGTCTTTTACAACTCAAATTAACGGCTTTTACAACAAGCCACAACTCGTCTCTGATGAAGTAGAATGTAGAATATAGAAAAGTATCATCAGTATACTAAATAAACAGGCTTTACTAATAATGCTAACATCGTTTCCAATACCAACATTAAATTTTTTTAAATTTACAATCTCATTAGTATTATACTCTTCTCAAAACTGACAACTACGTTGCCTGCTAAAAACTAATGGATTGAAAGATACTATTACTACTACAAGCAGTAAATAGGCATAGACTTGATTGATTTTTTAGGGTCAAACCTACTAAATTATCTCCAAAAGGTTGAAAAAAGCAAAAACTCGTGATTAAAATAAGTACAACAACGGTTTTTGTCATAAAATTATTTTTAAGTGAAACAAGGAAAAAAATGGCTATATTAAAGTTAATTGTAAAGGAGTTAGAGTGGGTCACTTTACACCTGAAAGTTGAATCTCTTTGGAAAAATCATAAATAGTTTATTGGAGATGGAATTCTTTTATGGGTGGTTTGGATTTGTTCAATATATGAACAATATATATAAATTGCCTGTTGCTTTCCACCAACTCCTCATCCTCCTTTAAAAGAAGAAAAGCAGAGAAAAATACAAATGTTTGTGTTTATTGCACTCATTATAATCCATCAAACGCATCCGTTGTTAAGCATCCTCTATTAAGCTAAAATACAATACCACATGAGTGAAGACCAAGAGAAATATTTTCTATCCTTTACCCATACTTTTTATCCTTCACGAGGATGAACAGGCATTAGATGCTCTCGCATTTAGCTCTGATTGGATTTTCTAAAACATGCATACAGGTGCTGCAAACTCGGCTCAAAGTCCCTGAGTCAATTGTGCCTCATGTCCCAGCCATCCTCCAAGAACAGTTACTCAGCCCATTTGCTGAACTATGGTGGGGCATAAGCCCGACTGCAAATCATACAAAGCATGAGCTGAAAGGGCCTCCTGAGAAGCCCCTTTTGACAAAAGAACAAACTCCAATTGATGTAGGTGTCTGGAACCTAACCTTCCCACTGCTGAGTTTTGAACGCAGCTGTTAACGACCCACCCTCCAAGGGACCAGTAGGCTGTGCTCGATCACTGGTGTTTACATTAAGCTCTTTGCATTTTAAGCAAGTGCCTTAAAATCCTTCTTACCTCTGTAAACTGCCGTATGGTTGCATTCTCTCCCCTTACATCCGTCAATATTCTGAAAAGCAAAGAAAAATCCAAGTTGTGCTTTATTGTTAGAAGGTCAGCTTTGTTATTTTCATTGAAATAGTGGATGGTTGCATTAACTCTGCATCTTCGTTGCCGAGGTCCAGGAAAACGAATTCTCCAAGGTTAGAGCAAAATCAGGGATTTCTTTGTTGAGTCAGAGAAAATTGAAACTCATATAAAATGCTAAGGAAAATTGAGTAATGATAATAAAGTAATTATAAATTTGCAAATGTCCATGTAACTGGTGGTCATGGTCCTCTTAAGGTTCTTAATAGAAATACTTCAATGTGGTCCTTCTTTTGATATGAGGAAAATATATCTAGGGAAGGAAAAAGTTCTCTTGTAAAGAGTTGCAGGACCCTTCAACAGTAAGTTGCATGTTGTTTTGATTGATCAATATCTATACTGATATTACATTCTTGACTTTCAATGACTCATCCTAGTAGAGTGCTCAATTCGGACATGAAAGCAAAGCTTGGTATGCCAAAGAGCTATACCTAACTGCAGACAGTACTGTTTTGGCCTTCTGGGCCTCATCAGTGCAGTGCTGATGCTAGGATGGAGGCAAGGCAATACAACCACCCCAAGTGATCTCACATATGTGGGATCATCACATATTTATGCATATATATATATATATATATATATATATATATATATATATATACATATATATATATATATATACACACACATATATATATATATATACACACACACACACATATATATACATATATTTATGCATATATATATATGCATACATATAAATATATACATACATGCACATATTGTATATATGCATACATATATATATACATACATACATGCACATATATATATATATGCATAAATATGTGCATATATATGCATATATATATGCCTATAAATGAATGTATGATGAAACCATGGAGTGCAATTTGGTATGTAATCACGTGTCATTTTAACGATAAGACAACAAACCTGGGTACTAAATACCATGTGTTTCGTTGTTGTGCTCTTGAGCTCAAAGCTGGGCTCCTCTAGGGACACTGGAAATCAAACAAATAAACAAAAAAGCAGTACAGTTGTGTTCAGTTATTTACACGCCTTGGGCTCAGCTTGTATCCTATGTTACTTTAAGCAAGTCTTTAAAAATGTGCTCTCTGAAATCGTAGAGGACCTACCCACCTCTTTGAGATGAAAGCTCAGAATATTTTGCAAGACACTTATTGAAATTAAAAGTTGACTTCACACATAGCTGTGACCACAGGCACTTTTGTCAGAACAAAGGTGAATTTCAGTAAAGGCAACTAAGTGAGCCTACTGAGTGTTAGGTGGGTTGAGGGGGGTTTCTATGATGAATAGGCATGCGCAGACATGTTTCTATAGCTAACTTGACACAGAAAATATAATTAATTATATTAATTTTGTAATATTGAATAGAGCTTTGGTATGTTATAGGGTGTTACCTCTGGTGTCTGTGAGTGGGATCAATATCCTGCAAGAAAAGAGGAAAATAAGTAAGCATCACTAAGTAACTAAGTGTACACTTGTATAGCATTCAGTTTATAATTCGTACATTTTAAAGAATAATGTTAATCCTTGTTTTGAATCAGCTTTCAAGAAATGGATTTGCCATAGAACTATAGAACATTCTGAACTAAGTACTCTGTGGCTATCACCTTATGAAAATGGCAGTTGAAGTTCTTTCTGGTTTGACAATTTGAGAAAGTTGGAGACTTTGGATTGTATTTACAATATCTTAACTCTATTCATCTATTCTAGGTTTACCATGCTCATTTATGTTTTTTTCTTTTTGTCTGAAATGAAAGACTCACCATTGGTTCTTCACCACCTGCCATAGTTGTGAGGAAAATCAACTGTTTGGATGAAAAAGTTGTCAGTTTTGTCAACTAGCATTGATTTTCTTACGATTTCAGTTTCTCTACTTTAAAAATTTTTTTCCCATTGCTCTTGCAACAGGAAGCTATCTCAACCATAAAATTAATTTCCCAATCTCACAAGAGTTTGTTTCTCTTTCACAGAGTATACTCAGCACCATGGAAATGCTTAGCTGAACAGTGCCAAAGATCACCTGAGTGAATCTGGTTTCACCCTCAGGTGAGCTCTCAGCTTATTTTTTTATTGTTACCAGATAAGAACATGACAGGAACTTTGATTTCCTTGGAGCCATTTTCTTTCTTATAATCATTTTTACAATTTTTTGTTTTGCTGAGTTAGAAATTCTTTCTAGAACATAAACCTGTTGTTCTGTCCCTTCGTCACCTTAGAAACATTTGTGACGGGTGACGAAGGGAAATAAAAACATTAAATTCAGATTTTTGTCTGATTTCACACTAAATTCTAAAAGCTTATATTACAAGACATGTATGGCAGAAGGTAGGGAGAATTAAATTTAAGATCTTGGTGGTGCAAGGGTAATTGTAGTGTAAGGTAAGCTTATTTTTGTCTTTTTATGCTTGTGCTCTGGTTATAAAATGTGTTTTAAGCAGTTAACAATAAAGGAATGTAAAATGGTTTCCGTGTTTACATAGCCTGATGTAAACACGCGGGAGGTTGGGAGAACACGAGATAACAAGCGGAGTGGTTTCCAGCTTATCGAGTGTTCTCCCAACCTCCCAAGAGTTTACATCAGGCTATGTAAACACGGAAACCATTTTACTTTTCTTTTATAAAATAACTAATGAAAGAGGAACGAAAACCGTGTCTACATACGCTCATGTAAAATGGTTTTATGGCCAATCAGAGCGCGCGTACTGTTTGAATTATTTTATAATGCTTGATCTTAAATCACATTTCATAATTTTCTGTGAATAATCACCAACGCATATTTATTGAAACACTCATCAAAACAAGCCTCTTGTCTTTGTTTTGTTCTTGACAGTCGCGTGCTATTTTTGTTTGAATTGTATTTCAAAACCAGCGAGGCGTTAAACTCCTGTTTTATGAGCTGGAAACTGGTGAGGGCTAACTTAATCTGCATTTGTTTTGTTACAAAACAACTACACAGCGCTTCCCTGGTTTTCGTTTTCTTCGCTTGTTTTATTTCGGTCATATTAAAGAGTGGTACAGTTTTGGATAAATTGAGCGTGAAAAAATATATATATTTTTTTTTTTAGAATTCAGGTCGTAATTTGAGAAACAATACGTGCTTGTTATTTCCGTAGCACGATTGAGTTGCTGACTCGGTTCGTTTTTTTTTTTAATCAAGACACTGGGTTTTATACTGTGGGTGCTAGGCAGTCTCATGACTTGTGCTTTAATGGTTTCTTCTCTCGGGCTCTCGACTTGATTTTATTACGACAAACGAGCGTGAGTAATTTACTTTTCACTCAGCCGACAGTGATACATTTTTGAAACAAGTAACCATGCGGACAAGATTGATTTTATTTTGTTTTCCGGTCGCACATGAGAAACAACGCGTGAGTGTGGCGCTCATAACAAAGCTTTTCTTGTAACGTTGGTTTACAGCATGTTTTTGTTATTATTCACTTTCACTGGAAGTCAAACTTCGGCACACGAATGAGCTATATATGCTGTTCAGTGTCAGTTGTAATCATCCCTGAAGAAGTCTCGGCTAGAGACGAAACGCGTCGGAAAAACAAACAAAAACTTACAACAGTAAGAAGTCTTTCTTTGTGCTACCCACTAGTCTCCGTTAAAAAAGATCAAGAAAGGATATTAAATCTTGTACATTTCTGGACCGTGGAAGAAAAGCTTCGTTCACGAAACCAGATGTAGACCTCCCATAATACGCGACAACACTTTGCCCTTATGTCACGCTCACTCCAGAACCGATAGGCTTGAGGTCACAGCAATATTTTTTTACGGCTGTTTGGCATGTTCGTAAATTTTTAGTCTCTTCGCCGAATCTCGTTTTGAATACACTGCGAACGACTCTTAGTAAAAAGTAAAGCATTACACCAGTTACACGTTTGTTTCAAAATTCTGGAAATTTTAGTTATACTTATCCCAAAAAAAGGCAAACTGTATTCCTATCAGGTAATCACGCTAGATAAAATCGTCAATCGTGTGAAAATGCAGTCAAAACCGGTTACAGGCACTCAGTTTATAGGACAGCGGCTGGACAGCGGTCAAAATATTATATGCGTCCCGATGGGGGTCTGGAACACAGCGAGGAGATCGATTGGTATCCGTTCGCCAATTTCCCGCGCAAAAGGTCTAAGGAAAACATGGGAAACAATTGCCGTCTCGCAAAATAAGGGAAGGAAAATTGAAACTTTCCTAGAAATCTATAAATGGAAACAAAAGTAGGGAAGAGGAAGAATTGGGACTTTTTGAGATCATAGCTCATTCAATTACGGGTTTCCTGTCTATCTACCTCTCTGTTTTGAGCTTTACCAGAAAAAAGTTATACGCCCCCTAAACATTATGAGTTACTGGTTTGTGTGATTGTTTGTAGGTCGTGCGAAGCAACTTGGTTCTGACAGCCTTTTAAACGACCATGTTCATCTTCGCAGTAAATGGTTAGAATTAAATTTAAAAAAAGACAAAAGAAGGAACAAAAAAAGAAATAACGAAACGTAGGAATGGGGTTTCTGGAAACCCCGACAACTCTAGATATGGAGTGAAAATTAATATCAAGAGTTTTTTGTTTTAATAACACATTTAGGTATTACATAGCTGGCAAGCAGCCCTCGTTATTAGCACCGCAGGACGCCCTTTTCTCCGCCCGCGGGAAGATTGGAAGCGAGTCAGGGAGAGAGATTTGCCAGAAGTCTGGAACTACTCTGAGACCCATATTAGCTCAAGGCCTTGTAATTTCCCGCGGAGGATGACGCGCTCGTGACGAAGCGAGGGCCTGCTGGCCGGCAAGGTATTACACAGTACAAAATACACAATTATTGCGACATTGATCAGCCCTTAAGCCTTGTTATTGAAACCTCTAACTTTCAGAAAAAGTAATACGCATTATTACTCTGTCTTTTTACTTTCTTGTTATTTTTTGAAGGCATCTCAGAGCATTCTCACAAAGACATCTAGCAACCGCACAACTTAAAGGAAGGGTGAAGTCGAGGTCATGGATATATTAAAGTGATCAGAAACATGAAGGGAAAGCTAAAACCAAAGACAACAGATGCGATGGTCTGCACACTGTGAAGTATCAACCTTAAAATCCTCGCTAGTCAGATGCAAATGAAGTCGAGATAGATCACATTTTCTGACATGGAAGGCAAAAGAAACGCTTTCTCGAAGTTTTGGAGGAAACTAGTACTTGAAGAAATTTTATAAATTTTCAATACTGTATACGTTGATGTTTGTTTGTTCTCACTTTCTTCTAGTTTTCCACTAGTCACTACTTTCCACGAGCTATTTCTTGAATCTTCGGTTAAGTTTGATTAGCCGCCGAAAGGCCTTCATAAAAATGTGCCCACCAGGAGTTACAGTGGATCTCATTGCACTGCGTCAATCCTTCTAGTGTCGGATTATCGAAGTGCCCAGTGTCTATTTAAAGTGAGGAAAGACTTTGAGCCCTCTATGAACAAGTAATTTATATAATGTCTTGCAATTAAACTCTTTCGTTATAATGGTTTTGTCTCTGTCCTCATTTTGAAAGGGAGGTGGAACTTGGCATTGACCTGGTATGATCCCAAATTTTAGTCGTTTTTGTCGTATGTTATATAGCGGTAAGTGTGTGGCTCCGCTTGAAAACGGCGCGTCCTACTTAAGTACGCCGGCATGATCTTTGAAATGTACAGAAAGTACCGAACTCAAAATGAAATTTAACCGGCAGCAGGGGACCTCAAACATAACATAAAGCTTTGTCTCGGAAGGCGCATCTTTTTGCTAAGCGACCACGGCCTGAAATAGACCAATGGAGTGAAGAAACTAAAGGAGTTGGGAGATGGTTGTGGAAAACATTGTCGTGTTCGTCTCGTTTATTAACAAGTAATCCTACGGAATAATATTGTAACCTTATCGACTCCTTCAACCTGGAATGAACATTGCAGATTTTCAGTGATTGCTAAAACAGGACCGATATGCTTTGATAGATCCCAGCTGACCTAACGCTTCTATTCAGACGCCTAAAATGCTTCTGAAGATTAACGTTTAGGCGAATAAGAGGGCTTTAGCAAGACACGAAATTCTGTCTTCCTCGTGTTGTTGGCACGCGGGCCAACAACAAAATCCTACGAGGGAAGTTGCACTTGTTCCCTGGTCAACGGTTGGGGAGCGAGTGGGAGAAGTGGTGGTTGGACCACTTGTAGTTCCGAAGTAAACCCTTCTGCTGTCAAAACCCGATTGGCGATGAGAATATTAATGAGAAATGGGCAGGCAAAACGTCTTGCCCCCAACTCTTTCGTTATAATAGTAATAACAAGGATTATTAAGTATAAACTGATTTTCGACTGACGTGAACGCAAACAAATTTTGGGAAAAGGCTCTTCTGCTTTTTTTGAACACCAGGCACAGATGATTAAGGAAGCACGAAATTTGAAAGCTCTCGGATTGAATGGTCTGTCGGGCGCGTGCGATTATTTTCCACATGCTCTCCCGGAAAATTTGAGATCCTAGACTCGCAGACCAGAAGCAAAGTCCCTTCGAGGAAAAGTTTAGAGTCATTCTTTTGTCATCAAATTTGCTACCAAGAAAACCACCGATTTGTGTTTTGGGCTTAAGATTGCGCGTCTCTAGCCGCCCACTTTTTCATGTTAATAGTTCAAATTCCTGAAGTGTAGCGTTGGACGCGATGGCAGAGCTAAGCACATTGTTTTATAGTCGTGGAAAAGCTCTTGGAGAAGACTGAAGAAGAAAGATAATACAAGACATCATTGGTTAATGGGGAGACTTCACTACATAATACTTCGAAGGAAGTTTTATTACAATTGCCAGATAAATCAGGGTAAAAGGAAAAGTGACACGGGCAACATTTTACTACACTTTGTCCCGCAATATTGTTGCTATGAAAGTATACAAGCGTTGTTGCCCGTATAACCACTGGCACATGCAATTTGTCACACGACATTGTCGCTATGAAAGTTGACAAGCGTTGTTGCCCGTATAACCACTGGCACGTGCAACTTGTCACACGACAAAGTTTGAAGTTGCGACTAGCGGATAATTAAAGAATCCTTCACTTATAATGGACGAACGAAATCGTAAGGTGTTCATGTGAGACCGGATTTCCAGGAGATGGGAGAGGGGCATTTATCATCAACTTAGAAAGGAATTAGAATTCGGAGACATCGTCGCATATTAATAATTTTTCAGAATGACGAAAGAACAATTTTGCTCTTCTGTGGGTAAGGTATCGCCTCTGATTCAAAAGAAGAACATAGACGTGGAGCAATGGTAATCCTATAGTCAACACAAAATTCTGACAGTACATCTGGCTTCAAAATTGGAACGATGGGCGTAGCCCAATCAGAGGTTTCGACTTTCTCTGGTACAACAATTCTTTCCAATCTTTTTAGTTCGTCTGTAACCTTTTCTTTTAAGGCAAATGGAACAGTTCTTGGTTTGAAAAACTGTGGAGCAACGTTCTCTTTAAGTTTCAAATGAGCTGTCCCTCCTTTTATTGTGCCCAGTCCTCTATCCCACAGGGCCGGGGATGCCTACTTTGAAACCACGTTTTCTACATTGGCACACGGTTCCACGCATTATGATTTTCTTTTCAGCTCATTTCAAAAAATAAAATATGAAAGGCATTATTACAGTTTTTGTGTTGTGGCTCACTTAGAAAAAAACTACATTAAAGTAATTGCTAAGCCTCCTAGCAATCTATAAATGTTTTAATGATTGATAAATACTACGTTGCAATTCGGAAATTTCCTTAGTTCTTCTGAAATCTTCACTGAAGGTATCTTCTGAGGTCTTTTTCGTGATCTTCTAGGTTCCTCTTGCTGAGAAGAGAGAGAAAGAGGGAGCGATAAAAACTACTTGACGTTAATAAGTCGAGACTTTGTGGCTCTGTTCTCCTCAATGAGAGAAAAGAGTGGTGATGACGATGAGTTGAGAATAGATTTTGTGTATTGATCAGGTTTTTTTGTGGTGCAGTGAGAATATTACGACGAGACAGGGTAAGAGGACGGTTGAATTTTTCTTAGGTATACAAGTTGTGTCCGAGGAGGAGCACTAAAAAAGGGAAACAGATTTGATGTTACACGTGAAAGTTACACAGGTTAGCAGAGTAGACTGTAAGAGCTCGATATATGGCATGGTATTTGGTTGGCCTCTTGAAGGTGACCATCATGTTGTCTCTGTCCAGTTTAGGAGTTAGGGAGTGATTGGAGAATTTGCAACTATGTTGTTGTCATCATAATTTCCTCTCTAACTGATAATAACCATTGAGGTAATTGATGAATAATATGTTTTTATCACAGTCTAAAGACCAAGTCGTGTTTGTAATTCATGTTTCCTTACCAACTGGAACTATGTAATATATTCTCTCACTCTTATCATCTCCACCCTAACTTGCATCTTTGTCTTCCTGTCTCTGAAAGAAAAGAATATGAAAAGATAAAAGGTAGGGAAAACCAAAATTAAATAGCTATCTATTTTAAAGAATTTTTCCATGCTTAGCGTGCGTATATCGAATTATGGATGCACGCGGGAAGTTTGGAGAGCACGAGAGGAGCGTAAGAGTTGTTCGAGGCACAGCGGAGAGGAACTCTAGCTTCTTGAGTGCTCTTCCAAATCCCCAAGTGCATCCATAACTCGATATACGCATAGCTAAAGCATGAAACAATTCTTTATAGCATTGCATGCAACACACGTTGTGATCGAAAAAAAGAGGTTATTAAAACTGCGTGTTCTACTCGAAAACTATGAATAAAGAACAAGGCAAACACGACCAAATCTTTATTCAAAGAATTGTAAATCTTCTGCTCAGAAGCGAAAAACGAACGAATTTCTTTCATGTACGAAACCATGTAGTAGATTCAGTATGCTTGAATCGCTATTTACTAAAATTCGCGACCAGAAAATTGCGTAGGTTAATTAGAAAATTATGTATTGAACAATACTTTCAGGAAATATCAACACAAATTAATTTCAACCGTTCGAAAAACGAAGAAAAAACTTTCACATTTCTTGTATTCACAACACCCGTGTGGTAGATTTACCCTGCTTGAATTGTTTACCAGAATTTACCACCAGAGAATTGCATTGTGTTGAAAATTCTGAAAATTGTGCAATTTCAAAACAAAAGCTTCTATCGAACGACACATTTGGTACATATCAACACTTCAAAATAATATTTACCGGTCTAATGAAGAGTCCCCAACGTCGCAAGCCTCAGTTGAAGTCAGAAAACTCAGTTTTTTAACGGAAAAAAGTTAGAGAGGAGTCCGGGAAATGGTCGGACAGAATAGAAGTTGGTAGATGGCATGACAGCTTTAGCTCAGCTCTATGTTTTTTACTCTGATAGAGCACGCTCTTTCGACCGATGACAGTGCGCATTATATCTGAACTTTATTATAAATTAAAGGATTTCTACCTTGGTAGCTCCTTAAGAAATTGGTGGGCCTCGCGCGTGCGCTAAGTTACGATACCTTTTCTTTTTTTCGTTTACCTCATGCTTTTCATTCTGACATTTTTTAAATTGATGCATATCATTATACCACGTAAATTTCACATACGGAATATATGATTGTCTACCAAAAAGTAACTTACCTTAAAATCTGGCTTAAACCTCCATCATTTAAATGTGGAATCCCCGATCTATCCTGATTTTGAAAACAAATAGATGTTTCTGCACTAGGAAGCCGATTTTTTTTAATCTTCCACATAAGTTTTACATCTAGATTATCTGTTTTTTGACTCAGTTTGAGCTGAGGTGTACGTTAAAATTTTGATTGTTCATGCAAAGCGT